GCCTCTGCCTGGAGAGAATAAATAGTGATTTAAATTACATTCTGAATAAAGCGCTGAAAAATTGCATATAATCTAATACACTTTAAACCGTTTAAATCAATCATGAAAGTTAAGGAAAAACTTGAATTATAAAAAGTACCTTTTGATGAACGAGGACCGCTGAGTTACTCCTCTCGATGTAAAAGTCGTTGCCGGTTTCATTAGAGAGGTTTGCCCAACTGCCAGGATTGTTTCCATGGTAACCTGGCCGACGTTCAAGCTGCACTCCAAGCCAATTCACAGCTCCTTCCCATCTGAGTAGGGGTTATAATGATAAGAAACAATAACTACGGTACAGAAATAATTGTAACATTTTCTGACGAAAGTTAATTCCAAAAGAGTGGATCATCTCGAACCAAAAAAGGAAAAACAACCACAATCGACTGAATGTGGCCTGTGGGTCAGAAGACAAAAAATAACCTGAATTTATTGTCAGCATCTTCAAAGAATATCTCAGCAGCAAGCGTGCTGGCAGAGAGTAGGTTAGTAAGACACTTCATACACTGATAAGCTCGCTTCTGGTGATGAGACTTGCTGCGCTGTATGATGTCCAGGAGAGTGTCACGCTCTGGACCTCCTTTCAGAACCAGCTGGATCCTGAACATTGTGACGTTAGGGGGTGTGACGTCACGTGAGGGTTGTGACGTCACGTGAGGGTTGTGACGTCACGTGAGGGTTGTGACGTCACGTGAGGGTTGTGACGTCACGTGAGGGTTGTGACGTCACGTGAGGGTTGTGACGTCACGTGAGGGTTGTGACGTCACGTGAGGGTTGTAACGTCACGTTAGGGGGTGTGACATCACGTTAGGGGGTGTGACATCACGTTAGGGGGTGTGACGTCACGTGAGGGTTGTGACGTCATGTGAGGGGGTTGTGACGACACGTGGGGGTTGTGACGTCACGTGAGGATTGTGACGTCACGTGAGGAGAGTGATATAACATGAGGGGAGTTGTGACGTCACGTTAGGGGGTGTGACGTCACGTTAGGGGGTGTGACGTCACGTGAGGAGTGTGATATCACGTTAGGGGGTGTGACGTCACGTTAGGGGGTTGTGACGTCATGTGGGGAGTGTTATATCACGTGAGGGTTGTGACGTCACGTGAGGGGGTGTGACGTCACGTGAGGGGTGTGATGTAACGTTGTCAAACTCAATAGGGATTAGAATTTAAGTGATGCGTAACACGTAAGATTAGAAATAAAAGCGTTATACTTATGTGAGATAACTTACCGTTTCCGTTGCCACGAATCTTGGATAAGAAGTATATGAAGTAGGAACACAAGGTACGGTTTCATATCAGAGCTGTGAACAGACGAGATGTAATACAGTAGCTCTGACAAAACCACCTTGCTCGCTTTAGCATTCTCCCAGCTTACGTGCTTCATCATCTGTACAATGTCCTGACGGTACTACTCTTAGTATGTTTTATTTTCATAACTCACTCTTTTATAAGATTTAACACGTGCCTTAATTGTTAGATAAACATAACATTTTATTGATTTAAGATATCGCTAAATAAAACGACATGTTATGAAAAGTTCCAGCATTTATGGGAAAGATTAGAGGTAAATTAGAGGTAAATTAGAGGTAATTCTGTCTACCTCCAGCTCCATAACAGTAGGTTCCTCCAGCAGTTTTCTAAGATAGGAGTAGTTATCAGAGATAAGCAGTTGCTTGGTATCATGGTCTAACGTTCTCTGTAGTATCTGACGGGTAGTGGCTGATTTAGTTAATTACATGATAGTAAAACAACTACATTCTGAGTCAATTGATATCTCCACTGTCTTCAGCAACACGTGACGTCACAGAACTCAGGTGACGTCACAGCATTCACGTGACGTCACACCACACTCACCTGGAAGTTATTAACGGGACAGGGGATGTCCGGAGGTAATCCGGAACTGTTCTGCCGGAGTGAGATGAGGTCGACGGAGCAGAGGAGAACTGATATGACGTTGTGTAGGGCTGATGTGTCGTTGTATTGTGCTCGCATACTGGAACCTGAATATTTGTAAAATATTAAATTAAATCGATCATGGAATAATTTTAGTAATTAGTACAATTTAGTAGCTTGTATCGCTCCTGTCTCCCATCAGAGTCCACTTCAGCATAATTATCGGCATCATTGTCGGCATCATTATCGGCATCATTGTCGGTATCATTGTTTTCTCCCTCTTCCTGTTGCTCTTTATTCTCCTCACAATTACGACACGTCAGGGCACAGTGAGCTACCATGGAGCTGTACATGAGAGAGGTGGGACTACACAGAATGGACCTCAAGAACACTTCGGGTCTAAAACCTCAGAACTATGAGCTCATGATTAATTCTAAATAAAAAGGTTTCGATATGACTCTCGATCTCGGTTGATAAGATTTCATCTTTAACACATCGGCATTAATCTGCAAGGCTACAAACAGCGCAGAGATCTACACATTACTTGGAAAGTTGCCAAGTTGGAAAGTTGCCATATTACACCTCACCTGACCCAAAATTTGTCTCTTATTGGGGGGGGGGGGGGGGGGGGGGGTGTAACCCAAAAAAACCCAAAAAAACCCAATCCCAGTATTACCTTTTTCAGGGTAGGAGTTGGGTTTTTTTGGGTTTTTTGGGTTTTTTACAAATTTTTCATTTAAGTATATATACGGAATCATGAAAGAATGTAGTTGCATGTAATAGGTAAATGTCGAAAATAAACACCAAATATACACATTCAAGAATGAAAACATGATATAGCAACAGTTTTTGAAGGAAATAAATCATGTAGGAACCTAGCAAAACAATTATCAGTACAACATCACTGCTGTGCATCATCACTACAACATCACAATAGATAAAATCGCCTAAATGTCACTCGATTGTAGTATTTTATTCACTGATGTGCTCAGAAGAAGTTGGCCATCCAGAAATGATTTTAGCCATATGTAATGCACAAGGCAAATTGAGTTAGTAGGGACGCAACTCACTGATGACCCCAACCCTGACCGCAACCGGTACTAGAGGAATAAAGCCTTTCCTCTCACCTTCACCATCTCTGTTCTCGTTTTCCTTATCTTCCTCTTAACATTAAACCATGCTCTATCTCCAACTGAAAGAATCTTGCAGTTACCATCAGCTGCATGATCACATGTGATATTAAGTGATATCTTCGCTTGTTTATGGCCCTGGAATCGCTTAAATCTTGACTGGGATGGCATTTGATCTCGCCCTCCATTGAGGCAAACCTCAACAGCCGTATCATGATGCAGAGCATCACCATACACAGTTACTATGTTCGCCCATTCCTCTAATGAGTCAATATCCTCCACATCCTCTTCTTCGTCATCTGTTTCCGATTCGTCACTCTCTGCTCCGTCATAAGATGGTTGAAAGGCCTCTCCTTCAAAGCTACAGTGTTCTTGAAGGAGTTCTCTAGCCCTTGAGACTCCCTCCTTCATAGCTTGTTTCAACCTTGACATTGAAGTATCTTTTCCTCTATATATAGTTTCTCTTCTTTCGGATGCGGTATAACAAGCTTATTGCGAGAGTGGGCAACTGTTTCAGGGATCAAACTTTTGCCGAGTGCATCAAGCTCGAGGGAACGGTTTGATTTGCCCATGCCAAGTGCCAACTAACACATCCTTAGAACACAGATTAGTTTTAATGCCAGCATGGAGGCCTATGCGCAGGAAAGCATAAAGTTGCTCGCAGGCATCGGATGTAAACAGCCAGGGTATAAAGTGTTGGTCACTGTTGTCAGCTGTTACACTGAGGATGTACAGCATCAGACCCTCGACTGCAATAATCGCATCATCAAACGTTTGACAAGTAGGCATGTGCTTTGACCTGCACTTGAGCTTCGTCATAGCTTCTTTCCATGACAAGAGAACAGTTCTAACAACCGTCATGTTGAACACCCTATCCTCGGGGCACATAGACTTATCATAAAAAGCGCACAGCATCAGGTAGATTAGTTCCAACCAAAGACCTGTACCATGAAAACCCTGATCATAAAAACTTTCATAGTGAAATACTATGTCAGAAACGGCACTGGGATCTTGCTTATCAGTTAGCAGTATTGGGGGGGGGGGGGGGGGGGGGTCCAACCCGATTTTTCCGATCATTTTGGCCTCATCAACCCTCATATCGGAAGAATCGGGAAAATTTAAATCTTCCCTCTGAGGTTTCTAGGCGATATAGGTAGCTATTTCTGTACTTAAATATGACAAGAAATCGATTGGTGGTGGTCCCAGAACCCCAAAATGGTTTCTTGTTCCAAACAAAAATCGTTTCGTCCGAAAAACAACACACTGTCGTATCAACTCTTGTTCGACAGAAACATCCACCCCGGTCCACAATTGAAAGAGGTACGGTTGGTAATAACAATCGTAACAAATAGCGAACGCTTTAGTAACTTTTGATTTAAATTGTCTCCACAATTTGTAACAGGCTATCTGCAGAAATGGGTAGCACAGTTAATGACCATGGTCCTTTCACAAACTTCCAATCCTCAGTTAGATACAAAGAATAGTCTACACTATTTTTAATAACATTAAAAGGGATGAAAATCACTTTATTTATCAAAATCTTTATTTATCAAAAAAAATTCTCGAGCACATTTTGAGTCAGTAACAGTAACATGTCAATATGTTACAGACTCAAATGCGTTTAAAAACATTTTAGTAACAATACATTGTGTAAACTGATGAGGAGGAGGAGGACTGAAGAAGAGGAGGACTGAGGAGGAGAAGGAGGAAGACTGAGGAAGGACTGACGAGGAGGAGGAGGACTGAGGAGGAGGAGGACTGAAGAGGAGAGGGAGGACTGAGGAAGAGGAGCAGGATTGGTGAGGAGGAGGAGGAAGAAGAGGAGGACTGAGGACGGGGAGGAGGAGGACTAAGAGGACGCGAGGGCTTCTGACGAGGAGGACTGAGGACGAGGACGAGAGCGAGGACGAGGACTGAGGAGGAGGACTGATAAGAAGGAGAAGGAGGAGGAAGAGGAGGACTGAGGATGAGGAGGACGAGAAGGAGGACTGGGGGAGGACTGAGGAGGAGGAAGAGGACTGAGGAGGAGGAAGAGGACTGAGGAGAAGGAGGACTGAGGAGGACAGAGGAGGAAGACTGAGGAGGACCAGAACGAGGACTAGGAGGACGAGGACGAGGACTAAGGACGAGGACTAGGAGGATGAGGACGAGGACTAAGGAAGATGAGGATGAGGACGAGGACTAAGGACGACTGAGGAGGAGGACTGATTAGGAGGAGAAGGAAGAGGAGAAGGAGGAGGAGGATGAGGAGGAGAACTGAGGAGGAGGAGGAGAAGGAGGAAGACTGAGGAGAAAGAGGACTGGGAAGGACTGAGGAGGAGGAGAAGGACCGAGGAGGACTGAGGAGGAGGACTGAGGAGGAGGAGGACTGAAGAGGAGAGGGAGGACTGAGGAGGAGGAGCAGGATTGGTGAGGAGGAGGAGGAGGAAGAAGACGAAAAGAAGGAGGACTGAGGACGGGGAGGAGGAGGAGGAGGAGGACTAAGGACGAGGAGGACTGAGGAGGAGGACTGATAAGAAGGAGAAGGACGAGGACGAGGACTGAGGAGGAGGAGGACTGGGGGAGGACTGAGGAGGATGATGAGGAGGAGGACTGAGGATGAGGAGGAGGAGAAGGAGGACTGGGGGAGGACTGATGAGGAGGAGGACTGGGGAAGGACTGAGGAGGAGGAGGACTTAGGAGTAGGAGGAGAAGGAGGAGAAGGAAGAAAAGGAGGAGAAGGAGAAGGAGGACTGAGGAGGAGGAGGAGGACTTAGGAGTAGGAGGAGAAGAAGGACAAGGAGGAGGATGAGGAGGAGAAGGAGGAGGAGAACTGACGAGTAGGAGGAGGACTGGGGACTGAGGAGGAGGAGGACTGAGGAGGAAAAAGATGAGGACTGAGGAAGAGGACTGAAGAGGATGAGGAGGATGAGGAGGAGGAGGAGGACTGAGGAGTAGGACTGAGGAGGAGGAGGAGGACTAAGGAGGCGGATGAGGAGGAGGAGACTGATGAGGAGGAGGAGGAGGACTGAGGAGGAAGACTGAGGAGGATGAGGACGAGGACTAAGGACGAGGACTAGGAGGATGAGGACAAGGGCTAAGGAAAAGGAGGAGGACGACTGAGGAGGAGGACTGATTAGGAGGAGAAGGAGGAGGAGAAGGAGGAGGAGGACTGAGGAGGAGGAGGATAAGGAGGAGAATGAGGAGGAGGAGGAGGATAAGGAGTAGATTGAGGAGGAGGAGGAGGAGGATGACTCAGGAGGAGGACTCAGGAGGTGTAGGAGGATGAGGAGGTGGACTGATGAGGAGGAGGAGGAGGACTCCAGAGGAGGAGGACTCAGGAGGAGGAAGAGGAGGAGGATGAGGAGGAGGAGACTGAGGAGGAGGAGGAGGACTGTTGAGGAGGAGGATGATGAGGAGGAGGACTGAGGAGGAAGACTGAGGAGGACGAGGAAAGGACGAGGACTAAGGACGAGGAGGAGGAGGAGGACTGATTAGGAGGAGAAGAAATATGAGAAGGAGGAGAAGGAGGAGGAAGATGAGGAGGAGGAGAATGAGGAGGAGGACTGGGAGAGGACTGAGGAGGAGGATAAGGAGGACGAGGACTAAGGACGAGGATGAGGACGAGGACGATTATGAGGAGGACAGAGGATGAGGACTGATGAAGAGGAGAAGGAGGAGGAGGATTAGGAGAAGGAGAAGGAGGAGGAGGACTGGGGGAGCACTGAGGATGAAGTCCGTGATAACATACTGTTAATATAAAGACACTTATATAAACTATCTATTAAGTTAAGACATAAGAACAACACGTAGGTAAGACCCAGTGGGAATAATTCACATTTAATACAACAAATGAAATAGCTAGAATTTTGTTTAAATTTTGTTTAACAAACCCAAAAAAACCCAAAAAAACACAATCCCAGTATTACCTTTTCTTGGGTAGGAGTTGGGTTTTTTTGGGTTACACCCCCGGGCTCCGGCCCCCCCCTTATTACACATTTTTGTCTTATCACAAATATTCTCGTGAGTCGCGATGACGTATACAGATTCATTACACACTAAGAAAGTTATGGCCTCATATTTCGTTGCAAGGTCTGTTATTCGCAATGTGTTGTTACTTAACAAATTATAAGTTCATTATGTTCGCTGTCAACTGTTAATTGTACTTGTTACAGATATTTTGTCACTTTTTCTAGTAAGATAATGTTATTTAAGCACGTACTATTCGGTACACGAACTTTTCGCCACGTTAATTAATAGATAACCATTCAGCGTGCAATCTAGCTTTTTTCTTTCTTTATAGTTGTTGTTGTAATCTTGCTCCTAATCAAGGGCAAAAAACATCACTAACAGATGAAATAATGAGTAAAAAGCAGAGAAAGAAACCATCATTACTGAATAAGAATAAAGATCAAGGTAAGCCAACATTTTCCGGCGCGGGTATGATTTTTTAATAAGCGATTCTTCTAATTTTCTAATTTTCGAGTTCTCGGTGCCAAACCAGACTTCATTTTCAGAGATAGGAACATTGGAGCAGTATAAAGATAAAGGTAAAGATATCTGTAAAAAGTATTGCGAGTTTAAAAACCAATCTCCGATTATGTTACCGCCTGCCCCCAAACAGACCTACATTCCCAGTGGCAAATAGTCAGGCGTCCAGGAATTTAACACCTAGTCAAAATTTGTTGATAACCGGTAAAATAAGATTCTTGTGCAAAAAATATTCACATTAATTCAAAATTAAATTGAAATTAATCGCTCTCAGGGCTCACGCGATGTTACATTACTTTATAGACTCGAAGTTCGAATCGAGCGCATTCCTAGATTCCTGAC